AGAACTCCTATACCCTTTTAAAATTCATAATTTTTTAATTACACTTCTTTGTTTACTTTTTAAGTTTATACCTATATGTAACCATATACTTTACCTATAAGAAAATGTCGCATTTCTATCCATATAGCACCATAAATTAGGGTTGAAAAGAATGTTTAAGTACGTACATGATCTGTTTACTATCAATATTATACATGTATATATATATATATATAGAGAGAGAGAGAGAGTCTTATCCAAAAGGCAAAAGCAGAAACCCACCATCTAATCAAGTACTGTGAGAAAATATTGGACGAAATGGTTTAGTTGTTTTTGCTCTGTGGTCTTTGATGTGATCACTCAGTTCTTGTTTTGGAAAGTTTTATAACTTTTAAATTAATAAGCGTATCGATTCGGTCGATTTGACCGATCTCGTAACCTCCATAAAAATTAGGAAACAAATATTAATTATGACTTTTTCATTCTAGAATAACTACTGATTATAACATGAAAATACAAATGTTTAGACTAAATAGCTTAAATCTCATAACATTATACATTAATATATATGTATATATATATATATATATTAATTTTATTATATTGACCTTCCAGCGTGTCTGGTTAACACTAGAAAAGTAGTAACAGTAACAATAACGTTACAGAAGTTGTAATGACGCGACGCATGTGCACTCATGTTATGGTATCCAAGAGTATAAATGTAAAACTCGTCATACAAAGTGACCTGTGTTTTAGTAGACTAGTAATAGTATTGTGTAAAATACAGTCACATTTCAGTTATATTACATATGTATATACATTATTACAATTTACAAATAAATTCTTAAACTTACTTTTCTTAAAACAGTAAATAAAAAATTATAGCAAACAATTATCTCTTCTAGTTACGAACTTTGTATTCGTTTGCTGCTAGCCGAAGGTTGTTAAGCCTTATAAAATTTCGCACATGGAGGATGTGACACGAAATTATTTTTTTTTAGGTTTTATATATACATTTGAAATAACCATAAAATCATAATTTACTATATCAATACTATAGAAGTCCACTATGATATAACAAGCTCAAAACTAAGCTGTATTTGGTTCTCAAAAAATATGAAATTTCGAGCTCACTAAAAACTTACCTTACAATTTTGAAATCTTGTGTCAAATGAACAAGATTAACACAATAATACTTAAAAATATGGCTGAGAAAGCCACGTGACAAAAAAAAATCGATATTTAGGTTTTTAAATATTTACTTTTAAATTAAGAAATTAATTAATGTATAATACTAAAATTTGAATTATAATCTACAATTTGGTATCATAGT